GCACCGCTGGGTAGCGATTCAGCGTGGGAGGCTCCAGCACCGGGGGCAAACGCGGTGGGCTGCCAAGGCGCGCTCGCAAACAAGTGTACCCAAATGCTCTCAAGATGCAGCAATGAGGTGGCACACCCAACAGCGGTATCACAGCCAGGCTTGCGGTGCCAAGAAAATTTCCCAACGTCCGCAACCAAGCCAAACAACAGATGATCGTGCAGAATGCAACAGAAACCGGATCTAAACGAGGGGCCTTCCCCCCCGGAAAATCTATTTCAGGTCCCAGACGTGATGGCCCAATCTCGCGAGCTGCTCAGGCGTAGCCCAATGGCCCAATCTCATGCTAGGCTCCAGGCGAGCAACTGTCGCAGTTGGCGTAGCGTTCATCTGCTCAATCTCCCTCTCCTACTCCGTCTGGCCGGCCAGACCCAATGCTACCTGGTCAGGGGCGCCTGCAGCATTGTATATGAGCCGGGGGGGCTGTGGGGCAGCAGCTACGGGAGCAGCAGGAGACGAGGGCCCAACGGAAGTGATGGGCCTGAATTTCACAACAAAGGTCGCCTGTTTTATGAGAAGTGGACATGGCGCTGGCAGCGGAGGCCTGTCTTGACTTGAAATCTTCGAAACCAGAGCAGCCCTTCACTCCTCGCCGCGACTACTGGGGAAACACGAGCAATGCAATTTTCCTGCATCTCATTACTGCGAATACGTACGTGCTATCAGAAAGATACCGCCGCTTACGGTGCACCTCCGCAAGAGCCGATGGAGGCGCAGGGTCAGGACTCCTCGACGCCTCTCAGGTCGGAGGGCCTCTCATGCATGAGACGTGCCGTCGCAGGCGGCGAAACTAGCAGCCAGCAGCGCTTTCTTTAGGAAGGTCTCCCACGAAAGAGCTTCAAGAGCATCGCTCGGACTCCACTGCTTGCGCGCTTGACACTGTGGCGCGCTATTACTTGTACGATAGCACATGCATTCCAAACGATACGCACCGCGACCTGCGATGGAGCTCGCCGGCACAAATGGACCGCACATCGATGCCAGCCAGCGAGATCGCCGCCAAGGGGTTTCCCTCGCTGCACCTCCACGGCAGACTTGCGCAACGTGCACCAAGTTATCGGCACGACAGCAAGCTGCCTGGGGCCTCGAGACGGCAGTTGGACAACAAAAGTGGCAGCCACGGAACACCCACGCCACTTGCCCCAAGAAATCCGCGCGCACCTCTGGTCGAAGACCTCTTCTCAACCTCCGCCCCACCACGCCGGGGAGAGAGCGCCCTAAACCCTAACCCCCCGGTAACACAGGGGTGACGCTTCCGAAGAGTACCACGCTGAGACGCCAAGAGCAATTTCTTGATTATTCCCAACCACGCCCGTGACCAGCCCCCTCCCCCCCCACCCCCCAGCCCCCGCACCCCCCTCCCACGCGCGAGGCGGGTCAGTGTACAACCAGAACGGCACTTCGCAACCGAGATGGGACACTTTACAACCAACGTGGGTCTGTTCTTCCTGAAAGAGCACTTTACAACCAAAGAGGCCACTTATGACCCGGCAAGTAAACAAACGGCAGGAGGAGGAGGCGGAAAAATCGGAGTGGTGGTGTAGGAGGAGGCGGAGAAGTCGGAAGGGGAGGAAGAGGAGGAGAAGGAGCTGAAGAAGGAGGAAGAGGAGCAGAGGGAGGAGGACGAGGAGGAGGAGGGAGAGGAGGAGGACGAGGGGGGAGAGGATAATAAAGCGAATGTGGAGTAGACATGGGACCACGGGGGATGAATCAAAACAGCGGGGGTGCGGATGACGGAGCGAGGCATAGCGATGGCAAGCCACAAAAACAAGGAATTCGCGAACCAGATGAAGCAACACCCATAGGAATCGTCCATACGAATGACCATCCTAGGGAAGCAACACACCATGCCTAAACGCAACAAGCCGGACCCACATGCAACAAACCTGAGCGAAAAGGACAACGCTTGGCCCAAACCGAACGCAACAAACCAGAACTTAACGCAACAAATCCAAACCAAACGCAACATGCCGGAACCACACGCAACGAACCACATGCAACAAACCCGCACAAAGCCGAACGCAACACATCAAAACTCAACGCAACAAACCCGAACCAAAGGCAGCAAACCCGAACCAAGCCGACCGTAACAAACCCGAACTAAACGCAACAGACTCGAACCGAACGCAACAAGCCGAAGCCAAGCCGAACGCAACAAAGCCAAACCAACTCAACAAACTCTGGGAAAACAGGAATCACGGTACATCCTCCTGTCGCATCTGGGGCAACGGCCTTCGCCCTTCTCCTCCTCCACATCGTCATCGCCTTCACCATCATAAGCATCATCATCACCATCATCACCATCATCATCAACATCATCATCAAGATCATCACCACCATCACCGCCACAATCATCACCACCACCATCATCATCATCCGAATTCTCGCCGTCCCCTCACGTTCATCCTCCGAATCACTCTTCTCCTCATTCTGCTCCTCCTCACCCCTCATCCTCCTCATCAGCTCCCCAGGGGGCGCCGCGCGCGCGAGGGGGCACGGAGGCGGCGGCCACGGACGGTCAGCGACCGACGGTAAAGTAACTCGACGATGGACGACGACGACGACGATGACAGGAGGACCGGGAGGCCTCTGGATCGCGCTTAGGCGCTTCTACAAGACGCTCAGAAACCTCTGGAAGGCGCCCAAAAGCCTCAGGAGGGCGCTCGGAAGCACCCGGAGCGCGCCCAAAAGCCCCTGGAGCGCGCTCGGAAGCCTCAAAAGCCTCCGCAGCTCGCCCAGGCGCGCACAAGCCTCAGAAGTTCCTGGAGAGCCCTCACGAGCTCACAACATTGGAAGCATCTGCAGAGTGCTGAAGCGACCATAAGCCTCATAAGTTTCTACAGAGCGCTCACGGGCCCATAAGCTGAGAAGCCTCTGCAAAGCGCCCAAACGCTCAGAAGTCTTAGAAGCCTCGGCCAAGCGCTCAAGCGTTCAGAAGCCTCAGAGGCCCCTGCAGACGCTCAGAAACCTCAGAAGCCTTTGCAGAGCGATCATCAACCTAAGAAGCCTCTGCACAGCGCTCAGAAACCTCTAGAGGGCGCATCGGCGCCTAGAAACCTCGGAAGCCTCCGCAGAGCGCACGGGCGCTCAGAAACCTCAGAAGCCTCCGCAGAGCGCACAGGTACAACGAAACCTCACAAGCCTCTGCAGATCGCTCAGAAACCTCAGAAGCCTCTGCAGAGCGCACAGGCCCTCAGACACCCCAGATCTTCTGCAGAGCGCATAGGCGCTCAAAAACATCAGAAGCCTCTACCGAGCGCACGCGCGCTCAGACACCTCAGAAGCCTCAGGCGCCACGACACATAAGACACCTCAGCGTTCAGAGGATTCAAAACGCTGGTTGTAAAGTGGCCGTTCTGACTGTGAAGAGTATTGTCTGGGTTGTAAAGTAGTCATTCTGGTGGTAAAAGATACTTCTCTTATTGTAAGGTGGTTGTTCTCGAAGGAAAATGATGTAAGTTTATCCGCTGCTGGTTGTGAAGTGTTCCATCTCGGTTGTAAACGATTGTGAAGTGTCGCTCTGGTTAGCGACCGAAGCGCTCCCTCCCAACCCCCCGCCCCCCTGGGAATAAGCCATTCTCAAGCATTCCCTAGCGGCGCCAGCGCGAATCGTGACGCGACCAGCCTCCTCTCCCTCTTTCCCTCCCTCTATCGCGCCCATGGTCGTCAGGACATAGAAAACACTCTCCAACTCTGACTACCCCACCGTTCCTGGGCCCAGGTCAGGCCCTGCCAGACCCCTGGTGACGGAGTGCTGTTGGCGCCGCCCGATCGGAGGGCGCGGTGCGCGCGACGCTCGAGTCCTCGGCCAAGGCCTCTTAGATGGGGTCCGGCCGATGCATCGGCCATGCACTGGCGACGTCGGCGTGGCAAAAATCAGGCTCCACATCAAGCCGCACCGCCGATGCATCGGCGATGCGGCGCGACGCCCGCGCGCGCCCGATCCGCGCGCCGCCGTCGCGGAGTGCGGCCCGCCCGCGGAGCAGCACTCGCTCGCGGCGGCGGCGCGAATGCACTGGAGGGCGGCGGCGGCGCGGCCCGCCTTCGGCAGCAAGGCGGCAGCGGCCCCCAAACATCTGGTGTCCACGAAAAAGCGGGACCCCACATCCTAGGTGGGGTGATTGTGTTCTGTGGACACCCCACGCAGTCCTCCTGTCACGCTCACCATTACCATCACACCACCATCATCAGCACTGTCGCCATCCCATCATGGTCAGCCGCCATCATCAACATCGTAAACATCATCACCACCACCACAATCAGCATCACCGTCGTCGTCATCATCATCATCATCATCATCATCATCATCATCATCATCATAATCATACTCGACGTCATCGTCGTCATCATCCTCACCATCACCAGACGCAACAGCATGATATTCATCCTCCTTCTCATCATCATCATCATCATCATCATCATCATCATCTTCATCGTCATCAGCATCATCATCATGATCAGCAACATCAGCATCGGCATTATCGACATGATCGACATCATCGTCAGCATTATCATTACCATCATCCAGCTCATCGTCACCCTCATCCTCACCCTCATTATCATCTCCAGCAGCATCATCATCAGCAGCATCAGCATCATCTTCATCGCCATCATCATCGTCATCGATCTCGTCGTCATGATCATCATCATCATCCTCACCATCCTCACCATCATCATCATCATCATGCTCATCCTCATCCTCATCCTCATCATCATCGTCATCACACTCACTCACTCGCACACGCACACACACACACATGTACACAAATTTACATACACGCACACACACACGCACGCACACAGACATACACAGACACACACACACACAAAACCACACACACACACACACACGCTCGCACAGAAGTCTCGAACCAGAACTCCGTCCGTGAGTGAATCGCCAGGCAGTCTCGAGCGGGACCCCCCTCCCTGTGGGTTGCCCGCCACCACGTTCGATTCCGAGCGGGCCATCCAGATCCTGTACCTTTCATCACTTTTGGGCCCCTCAGGCCTGAAATTGGAGGAGGTCTCGAGCGGGAACTTCGTCTGAGAGTGAATCGCGCGGATTTCTCGAGCGGGAGCCCCCACGCTCGATCCCACGTTCGAATCCGAACAAGTCATCCAAATCCTTCAACCGTCGTCACTGTTGGGCTCTCTAGGCCTCAATATGGAGGACGTCTCGAGCAGGTGCCTCCTCAGTGAGTGGACCGTGAGGACATCTCGAGCGGGACCTCCCCACCCCCCCTACAGGGTTCCCAACTCCATGTTGGATGATCCAGATCGCTTAACTCTCGTCACTGTTGGGCTCCGCGGGCCTGACTCTAGAGAAGGTCTCGAGCGGAGGCTCGTCTGTGAGTGAACCGCGGGGAAGTCTCGAGCGGGACCCCACCCCCCCATGGAGTCCCCACCTCCACGTTCGATCACGAACAAGTCATCCAAATCCTGCAACGGTAATCACTTGTGGGCTCCGTAGGCCTGAGCCTGGCGGGAGCCTCGAGCTGGAAACTCGTCTGTGAGTGAACCGCGAGAAAGTCTCTAATGGTAGCCCCTCCGTATGGGCTCCCCGCTACCATGCTTGAATCCGAACGGGCCATCCAAATCCTGTGGCCTGAATGTGAAAGACGTCTCAAATGGGAGCTCCGTTTGCGCGTGACCCGCGAGGAACTTTCGAGCGGGAGCTCCTCGTTTTGGGGGAGTCCACACCTCCATGTTCGAACGATAAAGAGTCATCAAAATCTCATAATTGCCTTTGTGGGCTCCTCAGGCCTGGATTAAGATGAAATCGAAAGCCCGAGCCTCGTCCGTGAACGAAACGCCAGGAAGTCTCGAGCGAAAAAAAATACTACGGAGCCCGCACCTCCATGTTCGAACCCGAACGGGTTATGGGACACCGGCTATCGTCGTGACTCGGGGCTCCTAACGTTTGAATCTACAGGAAGTCTCGAGGGAGGGCCACGTGTGTGAGCGAACTGCGTAAAGGTCTCGAGCGGGAGCCCCCTCCCAAAGGGGCCCGCACTTTATATCAGTAATCCGAGGCGGTCATCCTAAAACCTGTGACCGTCGTAACTTTTGGACTCCTGATGCCTGAGTCTCGAGGACGTCTCGACCAGGAGCCTCGTATGTGAGTGGATAGCGAGGACGTCTCGAACGGGAGCTACCCCCCTATGGGGCCCGCGCTTTACGTCAGGAGTCCGAAGCAGCCATCGGAATCCCAACGGTTTCGCGACCTGGCCATCGGAGAACGCGCCACTGGCGGCCGAGGCGGCTACGGCGCTGACGAAAAACGTCGCGGCGCGCGTCCTTGCAAAAGAGACAAGGGAGGAAGTGGATGTGGGAGAAGAGGCAGGATGACGAGGAGGAGGAGGAGGAGAAGGCAGAAATACGATGAGGAGACAGGAAGAGAGCCTCCACAGTCACAAGGACGAGGATGAGGAACACTTCCAGATTAGTTTGGGAGATTTCAATATCGTGCGTCCTTTGGTTGGACTGTAAATTGTAATTCTTGATCTGGTTCGCATCTTGCTGCGGAATTGTTTCAACATGGTTGGAATGGTGGATAACAAAACAAACATCTTATACATTCATTGGCTTCGGCCTCTCAAGGCCCCTATAACCCATACCCCCGACGTCATGATATCCTCAATCGTTTTTTGATGACCCCGAAGCCTGGTCAGGGCCTCCAAAGGCTGAGATGCGCCAAACCTTCCGTCTAGAAACGACTCGCAGGATGAGATGCCCGTCCCACGGAGGTGCGTCGAGAGGCCGGTTGCCCGCCGTGCCTCGACAAAAAAACGAGGCGCCGAACGCCCAGAGACCCCCAACGTCATGATGTTGTCATAATGCCGACCCCAGAGGTCTCGACCAATTCCCAAGGACCAGCTCTTCATGTCGAGAGTCGTTCTCTGACAATCCCGAGACCCGGTAGGGGCCCCCAGAGGCCGAAAATAGCGAAAAACTCCGTCGTGCTTTCTTGCAGGACTCGAAGGGTTCTGGGCCTGCCGTGCATCGTAAAAATCGAGGCGCCGGATGTCGGGCCAGAACTGGCGGAGCGAGACGATAACACTGACCCCCCGTCGTTGCTCCACGTTTTGGGGTTATGACTCGGCTCTCGGGCGGTCGTCCGAGACGATTCTGACACCCCAGGAAGGCCCTCGGCGAGGCGCAGCCGCTGGCAAGCATCCCGACCGAACCGCCGGAAAACTCCGAACACCTCGAACCTCGAACCGGCGGAACCACACGTTGCACGGCGGCGGCGCGCAGCGGGCGGGCGGCGCCTCCTGGGGCCCCCCGGAGCCCGGAGGGCAGAGTTCGCCCCGGAAGCGGCGGTCGGCCTCCGCGGCTCGATCGGCCACGCCGCAAGCGCCCCGCGCGGACGCGGCCTGCGGGGCGCGTCCGCGGGGCAGGGCGAAGGCCTCCTCCTCCTCCTCCTCCTCCTCCTCCCTCATCTTCCCTCTCCTCCTCCTCCTCCTCCTCCTCCTCCTCCTTCTCCTCCTCCTCCGGTTCCTGCTCCTGCTCCTGCTCCTGCTCCTCCTCCTCCTCCTCCTCCTCCTCCTCCTCCTCCTCCTCCCCCTCTCCCCCGCCTCTTTTTTAATATTTTCGTAAGCTGTATCATTCGTAAGATTCGTGTTGTGACTACTATGACTGTTATGGTTATTGATAGTAAACTAATGGTTATGATTACTCATATTATTCGTGTTAGCATTAACGTTGGTTTTACTACTAGGTGTAGTCATAGTGCGACGTTCAAACTTATTAGGAATAACCCCCGTATTATTACTATTCGCATGCAGTTTATTATTCCGACTGGTCTTACTGGTTCGCCTGATTGTTTGATGCTTCCTGTTGTTATTCGCATGCTTCCCCGTATTTTTAAACATAGTTATACTCATATCGTTATTATGTCCCTTGCTGGTATTATTAATCGCCATCTTGCTGATACTATGAATGATTTTTGAATATCATTATTACTAGTCTCATTACTATTACTATTATCATTCCACCTCCTCCTCCTCCTCCTCATCATCCCTGCTCCTCCTCCTCCTCCTCGTCCGCCTCCCCCTCCTCCCCATCCTCCTCCTCCTTCCTCCTCCTCCTCCCCTTGCTCCTCCTCTCCTCCTCTTCCTCCTCTCCTCCTCCTCCAACTATGAATTTAACTTCCTTCAGAACCTGGACTGATGTGGACGATCTGGCGGTACGATGGAATGGTTTCCCTGGAAACCAAGCATGCAAAAAACCTAAAACCAACATGTTTACGGAACGCCATATGTCCAACGAAACACTATACAATCACAAACAATGTTAAAGCTCACTGGGACTCACCAGAAATCGCATATCAGCTAAATTATTCTGAATTCTAAAAGGGTTGAAAGTGAGGATGAACATGGGCATCCCGCCTGCACAAAAGAAACTGTCACTGCCGTCCCATGGACGGGTTGATGTACGCAGTACGCGCGAAGTCAGGCACTGAATGGACAAAGCACGGAAAGAGAGAGAGGGAAAGAGAGAGAGAGAGAGACGGACAGACAGCGAAACCACCTCAGGGAAACCGACACACCACAGCGTTGGGGAAGGGGTCGCGGGGGAAAGTCGGTTGTTGCACAGTCGGAAGACGCTGAACCACCCGACGTGGTCCGGAGCGGTCCTCTCCTCCCCACGAACTTCAAGCGCATGTGGAAGCTCAACCACAAGCAGAAGTTCAAGCACACGCGTGGACACACACACACACACTCCCATGCCGGAAAGCACACTCGTCAAAGCTCCCTCAGATATTCGGATGAAATCCCGCCATAAGGCCCGTGTGTTGACCACCTCCTAAAAAAACTCGGTAGAGGACACAATCTTAGACCGTCATTGGAAACCTTCCTCGCTGCGCAGCTTGGCCAAAAGCTTCTCGGGGAAAGCGCGAGACCGGTCCCTCCCCGCTGCTCTGTCCTCCCTGTCCCCCATGCTCTCTGCCTCCTCTGCGAGCCGAAGCATTCCCGAGGACAGCATCTTAAACTGGGCTGGGCTGCCCTCTGGATGTCGGATTTTGCGAGGGGGTCCACTGGGATGGCATGGTGTGGCACCCATCGGACATGGCTGCCCACCCTGGTCATCATTGCCATGCGACGGTCCGCATTGGGGACACATCGTCTCCTTGTCAAGAGTGTCGAAGATGCCCTTCGTATCCACTATGTTAATGTTGGCCAAAGGCTTAACATTCAACTTGCAATCCTGCCTGAGAATCGCCGTGAGAAGACCCGCCGAGTCCCGCAAGTGCTCCGTGAGGAGGCCCCCCGTGGTGATGCCCAGAAAGAGTATCTGAAGCCACTCGGCCTCTGCCGCCGCTCCTGAGAGCGCCAAGTCCTCACCTCCTAAAGTTGGCGAAACTTGCCATCGGACCCGACTGGGCCTCCAAGCGATCGGAGTGACCCTCGAGAGACGCCCCTCCGATATCGAGGACTCGGCAGCGCAAGCCTGCCGCGCCTGTTGGACCTCGCTGGGGCCCGGGCCACCCAAGCCCCCGCAGTCGCTCGCAATCGCGAAGACCATTCGGCCGAGGCGAAAAGGCCGCGCGACCAGCAGAACCTGAGCCGTGTTCCGGAGATGCTCGACCATGCGATTGGCCGCCAGCACATCCCGAATAAATGCCCGATTCAGCCTGGAGGCCAGCGTCGAGGCAGCCCCCGCCGCCTCGGCGCAGCATTCCCCGCCGACCCAGCTGAGGCGATAAATGAGAGAGCGATGGGGCTCAAACTCGTGGGGGAGAAGAGTCTTGGAGTGATTGCTACGGCGCTCTCTAGGCAGCTCAGCTTTCTCGAGATTCTCGAGGATGCACTCTCCTGGCCCACGAGCACCCAGTGGTGCGCTCGACGTATGCGCCGTCCAATGAAGTCAGTCCCCTGCTGAATCACCTGCTTCAACTCACCGCAATTTAAATCTCCCCGTGAACCGAGCAGGCCGATCATCCGCGATCTCCGGAGCCGCCGCGACCAGCCAGTCATCGACCTCGACGAGAAACTGGGGCCTGAGAGGACCCCCCACGCGCTCGTAAAACCAGCGAGGCTCCACGCTGGCCTTCCGATAGCTCTCCTGAGCCATGACATCGCGCGTCGTTTCCCGAAGAGCAAGGGGCGCGTCGTCGAGCCCATGAGCGGGGGCGATAAGCTCTATTAGCGAGCCGGGGGGCAGACGCAAGCCCTCGCGCGGCTCGACAAACGCCCTCCCGTGCGGACATGCAACTTATCACTCTGACAGATCCCGTTCTTGAGATCTCCAACGTATAAACCGAGTCCGAACATGAGAGAAATGATCAATAACATCAGGATCGACCCCATTTGGGGCGCGGGTGCATGGACGCGGAGCTCGGCCGCGCCCTCGCCCTCGCGCCCCCTGAAGCACCACCTGGATTTCGTTTGGGGAAGAGCGAAGATGTCTTCTTGAGGCTTCCAGCGACGCACCGTCCTGGATCTCTTGGAAACGCTCTAGGGTCATGCCGTAGAGGCCTGCGCTGAGGCGCGGAACAGGGGGCGCTGGGAAAATCAACAAAGCATTTTGCGCACATGACGTTTGCCTTCGTAAACACACGTTAAAACAGGATCGCAACTCCTTCTCGCAATGTTCGGTCGCGCCAGCACTGCCGCAACGACGCGGCGCCCGCAGAGCCACGGCGCCGCGGCCAAGGCGCAACCATTGCCTAGCATTGTCGAGTGTCGCGAAGCGCAACCCGCTGATGTTGCTCAATTTGTCGCCCCCTCATATGGCGCCAAGAAGCCGCCGCCAAAACTAGGCGAGCAGGCCGGGCGCGCGGCCGCCCGCCCCCCCCCAAACAAAAAAAGAATATGCGCGCGACTAGCTCCAGCGGCAAACATCGCAGCGAGGTTCAGCGGTTTGCGGGCGCGCTAGCATCGCCGAAACAATGCTGATCACCGCGCGACCGAACAAACAAAACGAGGAGACTGATGACAGACCCCCTCCCTGCAGTGAGCCCCGCCGAAATCTGGAACTACACCGCGCGTCGTCGACGCCCGCGCCGCGGAGCTGCGGGCCCTGGAGGGGCCGCATCAGGCGCTGCGCGAATTGGGGGCGGGGAAAGATGCCACGCGAGGAAGTGGGGCGACGCGGGCGACGCGCGGAAAGAACAACTCGACGACGGCGGGGCGACAGGCGAGGGCGGACGCAATCGACGCAAACAGAACAACAAAAACACGGGGCGCGCGACGAGGGAGGAATGACATTTAAGCGCGAGCGCAAACATCGCACGGCGCAGAAAAATTGCAGGGCGCGGCTCTTCGCATCGCGCGGCGCGCACGCAACGCGGTCCTGCATGCGCGGCGCGCGCGTCGTTTCGTTCGTCCCACTCCCGCCCCCGATAAGGTTGGGCAACCGTTGCGCTGTGGTCTTCGGGTTGCGCTTGATGGGCGTCTGCGTTGAGACAAAGAGAGTTCTGGATGTGCGAGTGCACAATCCGATCGATTGGCCGACCTTTGACCAGGACGTTCGTCGACAGATGCGCGCCCACCAGGGAGGGGGAGGTGATTCGCCGCAGGCGTTTGCAATATTGGAGACACGGCGGACACGGCGAAAACAAATTGCAGGCTCCCTGGAACGACTCGGAAACGACACCCTCCAAACAACATGCGTCCGCCAAGAGGCCGAGCATCTGTTTCTCCGATGGCCATGGCGCCCGCGACGCGCGTGCTCGACCTTTCGCCCGCGCGGCGACACTCAACCGTAAAACCCCCCAAGGGATGCCCCAACTTGGACACAAAGGCATTCGAGAGCATATAACAGCCCCTCGACACCCAATGTAGATGCCACTCTCTGGCTGCAACACGCGGCTCTATCAATCAGGGCTTACAGGGACCAATGCACAAACGCGCTCTGCGAGCGCACTCGCGCACGCGAGCGGGCGGCCGCGGCCGCCCGTTCGTGGGCCCACGCGCGCGACAACGATGCACGTAGTAGATTTTCGCGTGCAGCGGCGGCAATGTTACATCGCTTGCGCCGGTCATCCTTGCTCGTGGATAGACCGCTCGAAGACCCCCGCAGAGTTTCAGAGCCCCGTCGGGCTCAGCTAAGAGTTCCCCAAAATTCGATGGGAAAGCTTTCGCGCGGCAGACCGGGCAGCCAGCCCCCAGAGCCGCGAGAGCAGGCGCGCGCGCACCATCCCAAGAGGGAACGCACAACCGTCTGGGCGTCCAGGCCTTTCTTCCTCACCCCAAGCGTTATCTTTTTGCCGGACCGGGGGGGGGCTCTTGAATACTGATTGCGCTGATTTGTTGGTTTTATTTACACCGTCGGGAGCCGCTGGAAACCGCCAGGTTTCTGTGAGCTTGTGCAATCTTCGGAAACTTTAATTCGACGTCGGCCTCCAGGAGCCGCTGCAGCCGGAAGGCCTGAAAAAACATATCCCGGAATACAGAAAACGACCCCCAAGAAACAACGAGTCGTCCATAGCGGTAGGTGCACGTCGTGTCGACGCAGCGGCGACACCGGCGCGGGCGTTCGAAATGAACGCGGCCAATGGTCAAGAATCGACCCGAGTCGAACGGGAATGCGCGATCGTTCACGGCTGAACGATCCAAGCGGTTTCAAAAGTCGACGCGCAGGCCGTGACGACACCTGCTGGCGCAGGATCCAACAAAGAAGGTACGCGATTTTGCTTCCACGTCGATTCAACGTTTTGTTCGAAGCCTCCTGGTGGCGTTCTCGTCGCCACGTCATCGGGTCCGCTTCGACATTCGACTCAACCACCTCACGAAAAAATTCTGGTGGCGCACGAACATGAAAATCGATGGCGAGAGCAAACAAAGAACGGGCAAGGGAACTTGAAAAGAACCGCCAAGTTTCAAAGGCCAAAGAGGATGACGCCAAGTGCCACCATATGCGAAGCTTGAGGGACCAAAGTGCGTGGCGCGAAGCGCCAACGCAGTCTTGTATATAGAAATATAGAATACGAAACACGCATACAAACACACACACACACACACACACACCGCAGACGTCTCCTCCGAACCTGGCCTGGCGGGGGTGGGGCAACCCAGATCACCCACGACCAGAAATTTTCGGTAGAGGATTCCGGTCGCGCCAGATTTCGGTCGCGACCGTCGGTGCGTCGGAGTCCAAACGAGGAATCCGAAGGCAACGACGGCTCGCTCGTTACCAGACTTCGCGACTGGAGACCGGACTTCGGTCGCGACAGGTTTTGTCTAGACCGTTACTGGAAATTGTCGGTAACGGATGATTTGGGAATGAAGCCTGGATCACACGATTACAACCCTGAGACCTTGAAATTGAAGTTCTTTCACGTTGGGCGGTTTCGCCTGGCTTCGGGCCCTGGGACCCTCACAGATCGATTCGGCTCGAGAAATGACGCAGAAAGCAGGGGTCTGGAGCTCAAGCCGTGATTTTTAACAATGATGTCGTTTTTCGCAACGTCGGATCTCAGAGAAAGGATGAGCTGGAGTACGACTTCAGCTCTTTTGGTCTGGTCCGAACTGTTTCAGGGCCATGTTAGACAAGTTGTGTGGAACGTGTGTGCAACACTTACTGTGCAGCAGTCACACGTGATGCGCTTTTGGGAGGACCGTCCCGTTCACGGTCACCAGTGAGGTTTTTACTCATCGAGATGTGCGACTGCACTCATCGTACACGCGATGGCTCTTCCTCTGGAAAGTGGGAGGGGCTGCAGTCCACGCCAGGCTATCTGGCCTCCTCGTCCTGCTCCTTCTCCGTCAGCCTTTCCTGGCTCTCTATGGCTATTTCTTGCTCCTCCTCCTCCTCCTTATCGTCGTCGTCCGCCTCCTCCCTCTTCTTCACCTTCCTCTGTATCCCTGTTTCTCCTCTTTCAGCTCTTCCTCCTCCTCTTCCTCCTCCGCACTCCTCTTTCCTCCTTCCCCCCCTACTCCAAGTGTTTCTCCTCGTCCTCTTCCTCCTCCTCCTCCGTGCCTCCTCCTCCTCCTCTGCTCCTTCGTTCAGCGGCTATGCCAGACCAAGAAAAGAATACCCAAGAGGACAACACTGCGAATCACAGCGAAGCCAAATTCCAGAACGCCCGGCATGCACTACGGGCTGTGCGACATAGCACCAATCTGACCCAGAACCACGTTCCAGGGCAACGTTGTCATGGCCATGTATCCTCTCCATTCTAATTATTTTCCTCGCCATGCTTCTCGTACCGCCCCTTCCATCTTCCCCCTCCCCACCCTCGAACCCTCCACAACATCATTACTAGCATCTCCTTCTCAACCTATACATCAGCTGGGCCATGAGACTGCCCCATCATCATCATCATCATCATCATCACCATCATCATCATCATGACCGTCATCATTATCAGCATCATCATCAACATCGTCAGCATCATCATCATCCTCATCATCGTCGTCAACATCATCATCATCAGCATCATCAGCAGCATCGACATCATCATCATCATCATCATCATCATCATCATCATCATCATCATCATCATCATCATCATCATCATACGCATCATCTTCATCATCAGTTTCGCCATCCTCATCATCATCAGCATCACCATCATCATCAACATCACTAACATCATCAACAACATCATCAACAATCAACCATCATCACCATCATCACACGGACCGTCGTCGTCAATACTATTGAACATGGCACCCACTGTCACCACCATCAACATCACCATCACCATCACCATCAACATCAACATCGACATCATCATGAGCGTCAACACTGCCCACAGTCAAGCCGTTACCGTCAGGAACGCTAGATAAGGATACAACCCCTTTCGGCCCCCAAAGCGCCTGGGCGCACGCAGAGAGCTAGAGGAGCAACCGTGGAAGAACCTAAGGAGCAACGAACTCCTTCCGAACCCGAGCTGCTCCACGACGACGATGACGACGGCGGCGGCGACGACGGCGACGACCGCGTCGACCTCCTGCGCGCGGTCCGGGTCCCCAATCCACGGGTCCAACTTCGCGGCCCAGATGTCGCCGAAGTTGCCCATGCGCGGGTGCCAGCCTCTGCCCGTCGCTCTCTGCCTTCCTCGTCATCGTGATCCTCCTCCCCACCCATTTCCCCTCTCAAGTACGTCCCTCTTCTGCCTCCCCTCTCTCCTTTTGTTTGTTCTCTCTCTCTCTCTCTTTCTCTTTATCTTTCTCTCTCTCTGTCTCTGTGTGTGTGTGTCTCTCTCTCTCTCTCTCGCTCTCTCCGTTTTTCTCCATATCTACTATAGAGGCGTATACAGATACATCCGCCACCGTGCATGCATGGAGTGGGCGTGTTCGAATGCTCCTCTACTGTCTGGTAAGGTTTCTTGGATGTTCTCGAAGGCCGACCCACTCCCCCTGGTTTCGAGCGCCCTGCGAATTCCACCTCCCCTCTCCAGAGAAGATGTTGGGCAATTTCCCAGATCAATTTAAATCGAAAAGGGGGGTCGAAAACATGCGCCTCCTAAAGGGATCAACGTAGCCAAAACACATACTCCTCCGAAAGGGGGGGACCGAGCGGCCTGAGTCTGGTCTAAGATGGCCTCAAGACGGCCTAAGAAGCCTCCAAGACGTCCCAAGACGGCTCCAAGAGGACGCCCAAGCAGGATTCGAGAGGCGAAAAACACTGATTTTCCTAGACTTGTCTGACATATTGTTATGTGCTGGCATTTTCGGTCTTGTGAAACCCCAAGACGGTCCGAAAGATCTCCGAGAAGGCTCCAAGACATCCTAGGAAAGCCTCAAGAGGGCCCTGATACAGTACAGGACGGCTCCAAGACGGCCGCAGGGGTTGCTACGACGCTAAGACGGCCCAGGAGGACTCCCAGTCTCAAGAGGCCCTTGAAAGGCCTAAGCGGCTCTCAAGAAGACCCCAATGTGCCACCCAAGAGAGGGACATCGAGCCAGCCTCGAGAGCCTGTCCCTCCAATATTACCTCCAAGACTCATAGCATGCGCCCGCGAGGCCCCCGAAGGCCCCTAAGACGTCCCTCGGGAGGCCCTGAGAGGCCTCGAAGAAGCCCGGGTCTCCCAGAGCCACCTCGCAGACCATCAGAAGCCAAAGGCCAACCCTAACTGCTCTAAAAGAGGCCACCTTCCTGCTGAGCTGTTGCACGGGCACGGTTGCGGCTCTCTGCTCTCTCTCTCTCGCTCTCTGTTTTGTCAATGTGTGTGTCTCTCTCTCTCTCTCTCTCCTTCACTCTCTGTCGAGGGCTCGAACATCTACATATCCACCGCCTGTGGATCTGAGGTCCCAGTGACACAGTCCCAGTGACCCAGGAGGCAAAGGATATGGACATCTTTTCGCCTCCACAGGGCCCGAGTCTCCATGTCCCCTGCCTCCTTGAGACATGAGCCCCTCAGGCGGTGGACACGTTGCTGTCTCTTCTGGCGGCGCACCTTTTACTTCCGTCGGCTTCTGCCAGCCTTTCACCAGAAGCCGCCCCCATCGTATTTCAGCCGCCTTCCACCGGCCCTTCGCCGCTTCCCGACGACGAATGCAGATCCTTCGATCCTCGCATGGGAGGCCCTCTCTGGAACATCCCATGTAAAGATCCTCCCCCCGGGCTTTTCGATTACCATCATGCAGCCAGGGTTTTGCCAGAAGGGCACTCGGGAGAGGGACGGAACGGAGCCTCTTCTCTACACCCAGGAGCACCGAGATGCACGAGGAGGGCCAGAGGCAAGCCCACGGATGGACCTCAGGAGCACCAGGCTCCTCCCGAAGCCAGCATGGGCCTTGTCTCAAAGTCTTGCATGTGCCTCTCCTCTGTCCGCCCGATGGGAGCGCGCGCCGGTCCCGACACAGCCAAAGAGATGATCCAGACAATGGTCGTTAAAGAAATCTGGGCCAGCTTCCAGGAAATCTCATGAAACAACCTTGGTATAATTTCTACCGTTCACGCTGGAAGGGGCGAACGTGGTTTTTTGTTTGAGGTCGATCCGCTGCTCCCTGGACCTCTCCCGAGGTGCGTTCTGGTCCGTTCCCACAGCGGGCGATCACCCGGTGGGGATACGATGAAAAAGAACAGAGGCAACCGCGCGTGGGCACGTGCTCAAAAAACTGGGCCAGCTTTCCGGCGAGTCGGTCAAGAACCCCTGGCACAGCTTTTCAGGAGGAGGTTTCTTGATCAGATGCTCGACGGTCTCGAGCTAGGCCAGAATTGGCCCGTCTGTTGTGGGACTGGGGGTGGGAGCGGGCGGGTCCCGACGACTTGCTCGACGTGGCTGCGGTCAGGCACTGCTGCTTGGCGTGTGGTGGCGGCGGCCCCCTGCGACGCGCCTTGCCGGGCGAAATGATAGCGTGTCGCTCCGCGGGGCGAAGCGGGAGGAATAGCAAAGCTCGGAAAGATAATGCCTGGGGAATGAAGTAAATGGAACGTGCGTGGCGAATCGCGCCGAAGGGTGGTGGGCTTGACCCCGACCCCCCTCACCCCGTCCTCTCCCGCCCCCCCTGTCTACCCCTCCACGCCACCCCTCCCGCCCGCCACGGGGCCTCCACAGCTCCTCCGCCTGCCTCCTCCACTCCCCCCTCCCTCCTGGTTTGCGAGTTTGACTTTGGTTTGTGAGTTTCCGGTGGCGTAAGTGGCAAGTCCGACTCCAAGCGCCACCCGCATCCTCGCACGACATGCATCGGAGCTCAACACAATGATCCGACGACGACCACCCTCCACCACCTCCCTCCTCTACCTCCCTCCACCTCGTCTTCATCCACCCGGCTAGCCGTTCCTCTCCGGGCAGAGGGACCGCGACGCACGGGGCCAGCTCCCGAGGTCTACTGGCAAACTTGGGACTGGCCCTGCCAGCAGGAGCCATAAACTAGATGTGCGTGGGGGCATCTCGTATTGCCGCTTGCTGTGGGGCTCGGCGAATGCGACGGGCTGGATGTAAGTGTCGTTTTTGGGACGCTCCCTGGAGAAGACCCACATGCCAGTGATGAGCGCCGCGCAGACCAGCATGCGGAAAAATCGGCAAAGCACGAAGGGGCCCAGAAAGGGACACGGAGCACTCTAAACTGCTGTTGGGTGGCGGCAGCGGACATCCTGGTCTTCGAGTGACCCAATCGTGTACTCGGAGGCCGCCCAACACATCGAGCCCGTGCTCTGTGTCAGTCGCCTGTTTTTTCAGGAGATGGGCGGAGCCCGGTAGTGCACTGACCTACCCGCCTGAGGACAAATGCGTGCATGCTCCAATTCCGCTCACTTCTAACGGATTGCTCGCTCGAAACACCAGGCCAGTTTGCGTTCGGTCTGCAATTTCTCACCATACGCTTGATCATACCAATGTAGCCGCGCCACGAGAAAGCTGGTGCGAGCGCAGGTTGGTCGACACCGGTGGGTAGTCATTACTTGCTGGTAGTCATGTAGTGCAAAGTGCTCTGTGGAGTTCGAAATGTACATCGTACGCTGCGACCCCGAGCGCGCCTGGCCATCAATACATGCACGGGAGAGCTCTCGGAAGAGTCCTCCCCTGAGGTGCAACGATAAGGGGGCACCATCTCGAGGGGGAAACATTGACTTGGAATCGACGATGCATCGCTGATAGATCGGCGATGTTCCCCCAACAGCCCATCCGCACGATCCTGGGTGGGGTGAGCTATTGGCGCCCTATCTGCGATGAGTGAGCAATAGGCGACGGGGGGTCGATGAGTTCCCCGCTGAGCCTGTCCCAACCCCTAACGTTGCCCCCTGACGCCCCCCCCTGCCTCCCCCAGCCGTCCTCCGTAGACCAGCAGCATCGGCACCCCCGCGGGCGCCAGCGACACGGCCGCGTGGAAGGCGCGGGGCGGCGGCTGGCAGGGGGCGGCCGCGCGCGGCACTCCTCCACGGAAGGGGGGACAGCTGTCAACCATCACCAGACCTCCACGAGGAAATCGGCTACACCCCTGCTCAGAGTTGAGAAAGTTCAAAGCTAAGAAGATGGACTCCACTCGAAACGTGTTCTTAACCAGTCGTCCATATCCACATAAACGAACTTGGAATGAAGAAAAGGAGCTCCAATAACTATTTTCTTGAGCGGAACCTGGAGTCCACAAAATGTTATGCTGTTTCGTAAGATTTCTGATCGGTGTACACGCAACGGTGGCACTAAGCAAGAGTTAACTTCAGTGCGCGGCTTCCGGAAGCCGCTGGGGGGCCAAATCAGGCGCGCAAGCCAGTGTCGGGGGGAACCCAGGCTCGCACCGAAGGTGGCTCCGGCGAAGGGTCACTCTTACGCGTGACCGAAGTGAGCAGCCCAAAATTCGGAAGCCATGCCTTCGGGGCTCGTTCAGGAGGCAAGTGACCCCAAATCGACCCGTGGAGGACTGACGGTTGTGGGGGATGCGATTCCTCTGCCTGTCCTTGCGCGTCGAGCGGGGGCACGCACTTCCTGCCGCCCGCCAGGAGGAAGAGAGGGGGAGGAGTGAAGAGGGAGGGCGGGAAGGAGGACGAGGATGGGTGGGAGAAGGGAAAGGGGAAAGGAGGAAAAGAGATGAGGACGGACGCAAGAGGGAGGCAGGAGGAGGAGAGGGAGGACGTGGAGAAAAGGGGGCTTAGAAAAGAACCATGATCGACCCACGAACCTGGAAAATAATTTAAACATATGGGACATGGCAACGCTTTCAAAACACTTGATTCGGCGACGGGAAATTGCAATGCTGAATGTCTCGATCGTAAGGTACCGTGTCAGGAGTTGTGCGGTTCTATGTGCCATGCCGCAATTGTTCTCTGTAGCGTTGTGGATTGAGTCGTCCGTAGCACCCGGATCCTCACCGAACTGATCTGGATCTTTAGCTCGAGCTGCCTGAACGGATAACAGCTGGCCCTTGCGAGCGCAACGTGCGGAACGCTCAATCAACTCGAGCTCAAGGTCCGACTCAGTTCCGAGACGGGACGAGACGACACGGGGCGCAGGGCGCATGGATGCGCCACGGGATGTGCTAGGGTTGCACTAAGGATTGTGCCAGGGGTACGTGTCAGGTACCTGCCACGGGACGTGCCAGGCGCGTGCCATGGGCGCGTGTCAGAGAACGTCATGCCTCGGGACGTCCCAAGGGACGCCCCAGGGGACGTGGCAACGGACGCGCCAAAGGACGTGGCAAGGGACGCGCCACGGAATGGGCAGGGGGAGCGCCAGGGAACAAAACCGATGTAAAAGCACAAGGTCACGCGAAAGGAACCGTGGAAGAACACATGGCGTCAGCTTCTCCTTCTTCGCCTCCTCCTCCTCCTTCTCCTGCTACTGGAGCTTCACAGATCGGGGCCCTTGCTCGAGACTCCCCCGCAACCCACTCACGAATGAAACCGTCGCTCGAAACATCCCCTGATTGTTGCTCACGTGCGAAGGGAACCTATGCAACAACTCATGGTTTCGGCTCGCAGGCGAAAAGAGCCCATGTAGACACACATGGTTTTGGGCGAACCAACCACTGTAGAACCACATGGCTCGAGCCCACGAGCGCAGATCCGCCGACCCTGTCGGCGTGTGTGAGGGTTTTTTCCGTTCGATTCCTCGTCGCCGTCATTCGTTCATCGTCGTCTCTGTCGTCCTCTTTCCCTGCACCTTCCTTTCCCTGTGCCTGTCGCCGCTCCTCTCTCCTTTCCTGGGCTCTCCTGCTCAAGCGCGTCAGCCAAAGCGAAATATTGAGCAACGTCGTCATACACTTGAAGGGAAGCCCCTTCACTTTGATCCCTCCCCCGCCGAGAGAGGGGGGGAAACTCGAGTCCGGACCCGGGTCCCGACCCGCGGGGGTCCGGGAGGGGGTCACGGGTCTGGTCGCGGGCCAGATACGCTTCCCCTCCGGCGGCTCCTGGGCCGCAAAAGAGCCTCAAGACGGGCCAAGAGTGCCCCAAAAGCCCCCAAAGACAGTCCACGAGGGCTCCGAATCGCAGAACGATCTGTCACGGACGCCTGGACGGCCTTCAGACGGTCCAAAAATCCTGCAGGATGCTCAAAGAGGCCTCCAGGAGCAGTCCCAAGAGTGCCTCAAGAGCAACAATCGTAATTTCCCTGTTTTTGTTTCAACGATTTCGGCGTTCTCGCCTCTCCCGCTCCCCGACGCTCCAAGACGGCCCAAGCGGCCACCCACATCGCCCCCAAACAGCCCCAAAGGGTTCCACGAGCGACCCAAAACGGCCCAAGAGAGTCCCGAGACGGCCCAAGACGCCTGCATAAGGGCCCCAGAGGCCCCCAAGACGGCTCCAAGCCAAAATTGATATTTCGAGCCCTCCGCCCCGAGTGCTCCCAGGAGAAACTAAAAAGCCCCCATAGGCCACCAAAAAGCCCCGAAGACACCCCAAGCTGCTCCCGAGAGGCCCCCGGGAAGCCCCAACAGGCCCCTACAAGGCCCCCGAAAGACCCCATACACTGTTCCCCGTGGCCCCCAACAGCGGTTCGACCAGACCCCAAGAAGCATCCCCGAGAACTCTGACCCACGTCAGCGTCGTCGTCGTCGGCAACCAGACGGCGTATACAAAGTAAAGTGGTTGCCGCGCTGCTCTTTGTCTTGGTGGCGGCATAGATGGCGAATCCATGGCGACTCCTCCGCCATCTAGCTCTTCATCCCTCCTCCTCCTAGTTATCATCCCTCCTCCCCCCTTTTTCCACTTCCTCTTCACCTCCTCCGTCCCCCTCTCATCCTCCCTCCCAATCCTCAATTTTTGAACATGTTCAACGTCGCTGTCTTCGTCGTCGTCCCCCTCCAGCGTCGGCGGCGCCAGCCGTAATGCCTTCCAAATAACTGGCTGTCTTTAGGGCGGGGTTTTCGGACTCAACCGACTCAACCTGATTTTGCATCATCGTCATCATCATCGTCATCATCGTCGTCATGTTATTCATCATCGTCCGCGTCATCGCCATCATCATCACCATCTCCTCATCATCGTCATCATCATAATATCCATCATCATCTCCTCGTTATCGTCATCATCATGTAGTGATGATGATGATTACATCAATACCCGCATGACGATGATGGCGGCGTGAACATGTTGATGCTGATGATGACGATGATGATGAAGCCGATGATTGCGATGATGATGGCGATGAAGACGATGATGCTGATGATGATGAGGATGACGATAACATTCTTTCGGACTGCGCGGGCCGTGCTGAGTACTGTGGCAGTCTAATCGGATTTGGATACTGTTGCAGCCTAATCGGAATCGGAAAGCACCACAGCCTTCCACGGGCCACCGCATTTCGTCCAGCACCTCCGCGAGGTCGGGCAGCGCCACGGGGACCCGTGCCAGGTGATCGGCCACGACGTGGTTCACGACGTTGAAGAACTCCTTCGGGCCAGGCGTGGCGTCGATCCTGCGCGCCCTGAACTCCCGAAAGACGTCGGAGCGGATCATGACGGCGATCTGCAGCCTGCTGTCGTCTATGCGCTGTTGCAGCTCGTGGTGGGTCGCGAAACAGTCCTGGCAGTCCGCGGAGGCGTGGCGGTGCACGTTGTGCTCGAGGGAGGACAGGGTGCCCATGTAGAAGGACCCAGGCTTTTGCTCGAGGGTGACGACCCTTCCGCAGGAGGCTGTGCTCGAGGGTGACGCCCCATCATGTGCTCCCAGGACCCCTGGGATCCTCACTTGCACGGAGCGCGTCCCGAAAATCGTCACGGCCGCGTGCAACAGGGAGCATCCGCCATTGTGCCAACCAACATACAATGATTCATGCTGCGCAACATGTTCGCCTCTGGGATCCTGCTCGCAGCCCACTGCTGGGCTGCCGTATGACCCGCAATGAACGTAGTGCTCGAAAGAATCTTGGGCGCAGCCGGGGCATCCCAGCTTGCATCCCCCGTTGTTGGCACGCAACGATCGCATGCGTGTGTCAGTCGTCCACCGGTTGAAAACCTTGCTGAGCATCGCCGAGCGAACTCTGGGCGGAGCGACTGCCTTCAAGTTCTGCAGGTAACGGCGAACGCGTCGAGCTGTCTGGCCGGGAGCCCCGCAAGCCGCCATCGATCCAGCTTGTGCCGTAATCGCATTTCTGGGCAGAAGCCGTCGCTGGCCAGCAATTGCCGTCCACATCAATTCTGGGTACCCTTGCGGAGCTGCCGCTCTACTTTCTCAGGAAGCGGCCCGACTGAGACGCCTGTGAGGGCCTTCTTGGCCTCTGTCATGCTGATACTGTGGGTTGCCCCTGTCTTGGCGATTCTCTGCGACGGTGGGGGCGTGAGAGGCGTACCACCTGTGCCAGCAGGCCAGCCTATTGGGGAACTCCGCGCAGCGCATGGCCCCGGTGAGCTCGACACAGAGATTTGCCCACGCGATGCCCCCGGGCGCGTTGCTCTCCCTCCCACGCGTGCATCCGAAGCATGGCCGCTCCGCAGGACACGACTGCAGGGCGGAGCTAGCGCGCGAGTCCGAACTCTGGCCCGTGATGCAAGTCGGCAGGGCTGCACCGTTCGCCTGGTCCGGGCGCCACGCGCCGCGCTGCTCGAGCTTCCAGTTTGGCTACCGCGTCGGGTGACTGCTTCAGCTGCGCGACGTACGGTAGTGCAGGTAGCACGTAGACGTTGTAGGTCTGTAGTGCCGGGTGGAAACCAATCTTAGACCATGGCCAGTCGAGGAGCCGAGCCTCGTAATTACTTCTCCATGGGCTTGCGCCACGAGCGCGTGCCTTTGCCAGGGCCGATGTAGAACCGGAGGTACTTGCTGGTGGGTTCCCACTCGATGTGCGGCATGCCTGGCTCCCTGAGCATCTTGTCCTGGATGGTCGTGGGATCCTCCGCCAAGATCGGAATGGCAACGGTTTTCGACAGATTGAGTTCCAGCCCCGACACATAGGCAAAAATTGCAAATGTTCGAAATACCTTCCTCGCCTTGCGGCGCCAAGACCGCAGCACCATCACCGTGTCGTCTGCGAATGCCCGCGTAGTACCGTGGAATGTCGGGAAGAAAGTGCCCGCAGCAGCCCGTCAGACGCAAGAGCGAACAGCAGCGGTGATAGAGGGCAGCCATGGCCGATGCCAGCCGTCACAGGGTCCCGCGAGCAAGAAGAGGTGTGGAAGAGAGAGAGAGAGAGAGAAAAAAAAAGAGAGAGAGAGAGAGAGAGAAAGAGGTATGGAAGAGACAGAAAGAGGGATTCGGATTCGAAATTTGGTCTGGATCCTTTCACCGCTGTCTGGAGAACAAGCGTTCCGCAATGCTTGCGAGGGATAGGGAGGTGGAGCGCAACAGAGTGGCCCCTGCGCCCCCTCTCCCCCGCGCCCACTCCCCGGCCTGCCTGGCCTCCATGCTCGGAGCAGGGCAAGCTGAGGCAACGGCAGCTCAAAATCGGTCACCAGATCCCGAACTGTGCCCTGCTGTAGCAACTTGGGACCCCCCCGCGGGGCCAACTGCAGCTGTCTCCACTTGCCCTCCTCCGGCATGCGCCCTCTCCCCGATCTGCCCCCTCCAGGTCAACGAGCGCAGCAGAGTGCCCCAGGCGGCGTCGAAGCCCTCCAGCGCCCCCGAGTCTTCTTCAGGCTCTGCCCGCGCCGCCGCCGCCGCCACCCGCTGCGCATGCCTCTCCTTGGGGAGGGGCGCTGGGAACGGAACGGAACGAGAACGCAAGCCGGCGCAAGGCTTCGCGAGACCCGCTCACATGTTGATGGAATCGCCCCTCAGATGGCCCATATTTCCGATTTCGCACACCTCTCTTTGTGTAGGAGCGCCGGGCTTCCTGGCTGTACCCCCGAGCCTCGTGGGGCCGAGTCGGGGAGGCCCCCTGTTGATGAGCGCAGCCTGGCCTCGAGGTGTCCTCTCACGCTTGCGCGTGTGTTGCGTTCTCAAGCTCTGCCGCTGGGCTTCGCACGGACTGCCTGCAACAGAAAGTGTGATCCCTCCCTTGCCTCCTCCTCCTCCTTCTCCTCCTCATCCTCCTCCTCCTCGGTTCCGATCGTTTGAGGGGCAACGAGAAGGGGGAACCAGCTCCAGAGGAGAAGCATCGAGCTGGAATCGGCGATACAGCACAGAAAAGTAAGCGAAAGCGAATCCAAACGCTCCTGGGCGGGGTGGGCGATCGGGTCCCTATCGGCGAACAATGGGCGACTGGGGGTCGATGCGCCCCCCTGAGCCTATCCTCCCCTTGCGGGTGTGGACTAGGGCCGCGCTGCCCCCCCCCCCCCCCCTCCCCCTCCCTCGTCCTCGGGGAAGAGGACAGTGCGCTTCCGCAGGGCCAACGGGGGGCGAGAGTCGACCCGCCGCGGGCGTGCCCGGCCTCTCCTGGGCCCCTGGAGGCCCAAGCAGGTGCATACTTAGCTCTGCCGCGCACCCTGCGCCGCGTGTCTGCACGTCGCCCCCCGACAAAAAAAGGCTCTTCTCCTCCACGCTGGCACCTGGCCTCCTCCTCCTCCTCCTCACTTTCCTCCTCCTCCTCCTCCTCCTCCTCCTCCTCCTCCTCCGTCTCCGTCTCTTCCTCCTCCTCCTCCTCCTTGACCTCCTCGTTCTCATCCCCACTCCTCCACTTCTCCCCCGTCTTCATCAACTCTTTCTCCTCGTCCTCCTCCTCCTCCTCCTCCTCCTCCTCCTTTTTCTCCTCTTCCTCCTCCTCCTCCTCTTCCTCCTCCTCCTCCTCCTCCTCCTCCTCCTCCTCCTCCCTCCCGCTTTCCCCCGCCGACCTCCCCCCTCTCCCGCTGCGGCAATTGTCCTCCCATTGGCCCTTTCTCCCGGACGCTCCAACCTGTGCAGGCACGCCCAGGACAAAGGAAGAGGAGGGGGAAGGAGGAGGACGACGATGAGGAGACCGGTGTAAACCCAAGGTTCACCAACTACATTGCAATAAACCTCCCTCCAAGTTGCCTCTTCACAAGCCCCCACCATGATTCACTATTACTGAAAAGCTGTCCAGGGGGAAATCAACCTGGAAAACAACCGTTTGAAATCCGGAGCTGTACCAAAACACCATGCCTAGGAATTCAACGCCGCGAATCACCGTTACTATTGCGTCTTGACGATCATGATTCGCAGCAGAACCCAATTTCTGGGAGTTCAACACTACAAACCAACGTAACTGTTGCGCCCTCGCACCGAGATCGTGATACAACAGCATGTTTGGGGTGCTCATCATGAGACTCGTTGAAACTATTGTGAACTCTCAAAACGACTGTACGCACCGCTAAGGCGAGAACCACAACATGTTCAAAAAAACGCCATCCATCCGTGAAGTTGTTTCCCAACCATCCCGTGGTGTTGGGTCCTCGTTTTGAAGAGACAACGCCCCGCGTTTAATCCTCTCCTCTCCTCCTTCCTCCATCCCCTCCTCCCTCCTCCCATTCCGCGTGGCTCCCAGGACCTCGACCGACGGCCCCAATGGCTCTGATCACATCCGTCCGCGCGCGAGAATACAGCGCTTCGTGGCCCCACATGGAGCTCCACCGAAGGCCTCAGTGGCTGTGACCACATGCGTCCGCGCACGAGCATACAGCGCTTCGCGGCCCTGAGAGAGCTCCACCCAAGGCCCCAGTTCTTCTTCTTCTCACATAATTAGCTCCGAGGTTCAAGCACCACAAGCTAGTCACAAGACCGTGCAACTCACATCTCTATGTCAGATCGGAGCGATGTCCCAGCTTTATGGCGGGCCTAAAAACCCCCACCTCTTGTGGTGGTCTCGTAGCCGACGGGCCCGAATAGGCCCCAGCCTGAGACCCGCGACTTCTGACGTGTAGAGAGGTCGAGGGGATCGCACCAGAAAGCGGGACGACCAAGTTTGAGATCGATGCCACACTTTAGTTTGATACAACACATGCTTGCTCGAAACTAAACTATGCAACATTCGGCTACCAGGGAAAACGTTTTTGGTGGCTAAAAACATCGTGCACACACGGAGGTCGGAGATGGGAGGAGAGAGGCTAGCCTGGTGGGGTTCACGGTGCACAGGCCTCTTCACAATTGTCGTGCCTGTCTATGGAGTCCCAGCCGTCGGTGGGAAGTTATTCACAGAAACGTGTTCGGTAGTGCTCTCATCCGTCGCCTCGCTTACACCGCCCGTCGAAGGTAATGCGACCACTTGCTGGGATCACTCACTCGGGCTCATTGCTGCAGTCGGCTTGGAAACATCACTCGAGCTCATTGCTGCAGCCTCTTGTCCCAGTCGGTCGGTGTTCACATCAGTAGCTGCTCGACCCACTTCTGTAGCTCCCTCTCCATGTGTGTCGCTGGTGCGCGCCCATACTTCCGCTTCGCTGGGGTCGCCTTCAGCGCCTGCGTCAGGTACACCCTGAACTATGACTCGCGGACCGCAAACGTGAGCCCCATTTCTTCTGCTTCTCGTACATGCGGCCGACCGTGCAGGAGAGCACTAGCTTGGACTGCTGCTCGTTGTCGTAGTTGCCGTAATCCGTGAATATTTTTGTGACGTTCGTCTTGAGCTGGTCCTCGAGTGGGAGTTCCTTCGCCGCTGCCAGTAGTCCGCCCATCGCGTAGATCTGCGGAGGTCCGAGGTCGCGGTGCTTGCCTTTCTCGTTGGTGGCTTTGCCGCAAATTGCCGTCTGCTCCTGGATTCGCAGGATGGTCGGGCTGTCGCTCTTGAAAACCATGCGTCGAATATCACGCTGCTCATGTCTCTGTTCTGCTGGGCGTACCTGAGGAGCTGTTTCACGATGAGCGTCATCAGCTTCTTGGTGTGCACGGGGATGCGTTGTTTCGCGGCCTCGTACGTCTACTTCGTGTTCTCCTCGTCGTCGCCGTCTCTGCGTTGGCGCTGGTTGCGCTCGAAGGGCAATTCGGCGTCGCCGTTGCCGACCTGCAGGAGCGCGGGCATGATCCAAGTGCGGGCTCGGTATCGGAAGGTGCTCGCTCCTGCTGCGCTCGTAGAAGGAGGCCAGATCCGAAAGGGCTGCAGAGCAGAGGGGGGAGGCGGGGTCCTTCACCGCGGCTAGGGGCCATGTCATAATGTTCTTGCCATTGCGACATCGGCCCTCGGCGCAGGCGAAGATGAGGTGGTTTCGGGCGGAGGCTCGGCGTTTCAGGGCCGCGTAGCAATTAGGGCACTGGTTCGTGATCACACAGCTCGGGATAGCAAATCGAAGTCGATGCCGAGAGGCTTGATTGATGGGTAGTGAGCTGTCGGTAACTCGGGAAAGGCAAAGCACAACCTTGTCCAGTTTCATGATCTATGAGTTCGCATTTGAAGACCTTCGGGGTCGCATCAATCATGTCCGTGGGGGTGTCGTAGAAGCGGGACCATGTGGGCACCCCTGGGGCGCGTGCTGCTGCTCGGATGTCTGGAGCCATTCTAAGACATGCTCGTTCGGACTCAGAGTTCGGGGTTGGGAGGGCCTTCCAAGACTCGCTCGTGTCGGTCCAGATCTCCCAGAAGCTTTCCGCGCCGCTGATGCCCCTGAAGAGGTCGACGTCCCTGGAGAACTGATGGGCCCAGGGATTCGCCATAGTTTGATGCGGCCGATTTCGTCCAGGGTAGACGGTTAATTCAGGATGTGGCCGAAAATGGCGACCAGGGTTTGACGAGGTGCTTGTTTATGTCGGCGCATGCCCTGAAGCAGTATAATGCGTCTGACCGCTAGCTCTGCTCTCGCTGGAAGGATCTCCCAGTGCTTGAGAACCTCGACGTTACTCACCGCAGTCATGCGCGAGTCCGCGTGGATCGTCTTGGTGCGACCCCGCGCCGAGGCACGGAGGTGCTGAACTGGTTGGGGCCCCAGCTTCTCCTCGGTTTTCTACAGGGCGAAGGCCTCCAAGCCAGAGATCCCAGGCTCGACCGCTTTCCCCAGGAAGACTTCGCGCTTTAACTTCCGGGGCCCCCTCTCGCTCCAGAACTTCCCCAGCTGGCACCGCGCCGCGGTCATGGAGTGCACGCGATTCGAGATCTCCAACTTGTTGCTATCTGTCATGGAGTAGCGAGCTCCCAGGTGACGGGCATCCGAAACGACTTGCCCCTGAGAAGGGGGGCAAACTTCCCGGGGCTTCCGATTTTCAACGCGAGATCCGAGGCAGGGGGCGATGTTATTGTTCGATTTGTTCTGCGCAAAATGCCAGTGGTGAAGTGCATAGTCGAGCAGTTTGTCGCCCGACAGAATCACCTCCAAAGCTTCCTCGGCCGTGCCAGACGGGCACAGCCGGTATTGTAACAAATCATCGGCGAAGCCCGACAGCGATATGTCCTGGTGGAAGCCCTCGATCTCGTCATACATGATGATAGGGTCCTGTGTGAAATTCTTCCAGTCGGTGATGCCTTCATGATATGCGCCATCAAACTGCTTGGGAGCTTCGCTGGGGCCCTGGAGTCCGCCGTGGTGTAGTAAGAAAGCCTCTTCCATGTCCTCCACTGGGATGAGCGCGATGCTGTTCACCAGTCTTCGATGTGCCAATGCCTGGAGATCTTCGCGAACGAATTGTTGGCTGATGCGAAGCAGGTCGCATGTTCGTGGGCATAGGAATGCATTGGTGAGGTCGTGAAGCTCATTAATGTGGTGCGGTTTCTGGCATCGGAGTGACCAGCCCGTTCGTCGTTGTGCCAGTATGGCTCCTTCGCGGCGTCGATGTGCTAGGAATCCGTGCCAGCGGCTGGGACTAGTATTCGCCCAGGCCAGCTTGCGATCGCCCCAACCGTAGAGAACGGCGTAGAAGCTCTTCCAGATTGTGTCGGAGAGGTGGATGATGCGTTGGCTGGCCATCTGCTTCTTCACGTTGCGCTTGTCCAAGAGGGCGCCCTCGGTGATGCTGGATTTCGTTGGGAGCTGGTTGCCGCGAAGGCAGTGGATGAGAATGTCCATGAAGTTGGATTTGGCCTGAATGTAGTTAGAGGCCGCTTCCAGTCCGTTGTGGCGTCCGTCGCGTGCGCGTGTCGGAGGTGAGGGTCTTTCGTGGTGGTGGCTCGTGGTAGGTGGAGGTGGGAGGTCAGAGTCAGGTGGTGGTGCGATTCCGTCGGGCATGCGCTGCTCCTCGTGGTCAAGGTCGTAAGATGGGCCGGCGTCGGGTGGGTCCATCGTTGTGGGCGGATGTTGGTGGTGTGTCGGTCGTGCGTTGAGGTCGTCAGCTGTCTGCTCGTCGTCGTGGTGGGAGTCGTGGTCAAGTGGAAATGGGAGGTCAGGGTCAGGTGGTGGCGTGGGTCCGTCGGGCATGTGCTGCTCCTCGTGGTCAAGGTCGTCAAGTGGGTCGGCGTCGGGTCTGTCCATCGTTATGGGCGGAGGTTGGTGGTGGGGCGGTCGTGCGTTGGGGTCGTCAGCTGTCGGATCATCGTCGTGGTGGGAGTCGTGGTCAGGCGAAAATCGCGCCGCGGTCGGAGGTGGGCGTCTGTGGTGGTTGTCCTCGTCGGCGTCGAGCTGGGTCCTCTGGCGCGGCGGTGCCGGCGCGGGAATCGAACTCGAAGCTGGGACAGAGTGGATGGTCGCAGGAGGAGTCGTAGTCGGGGTTGGCGTTGTCGTGGTCGCTGGCGGAGTTGTGTATTAGCCCAAACCGCCTTGCGTTGTGAGCGCCATGGCCAAGTACGTCGGGTCCAGTGCAATGAGAGCGACCTCCACTGGCACGCTCCACTTGGTTGTGCTGCGTCGCTTCTTGGCCCTCCGTAGGCGAAGTAGAAGTTGCTGAAATAGGGTGCGCGCTGTGATTTCCATGGTAGTCGTACGTAGGCGTAGAAAGTCGTCGTCTCGCGGAGAGAGAAATTGATCCAGTTCAGCTTGTAAGTCGATGTGTCGTGCCCCCATGCCTCCCTCATTGCTCTGGCGCTCGATGTGGGCCTTCAATTCGGTAAGGGAGGGCTTGTAGCTAGGGAGGTGGCAATAGATGCGGTTCTTCACACCCGTGGCCTTGCCCACGACGGGTCGCGCGATGCGGTGCGCATCTGCGGCGTAACCCAAGCGTCGGGCCTCTACCAGCTCTTGGTACATGTACTTGCGGTCCGTAGGGTAACCTTGTCGAGATGCTCGTCTGACTTGATGCGTGGCCTGGCTGATCTCGCGCTTGAGGGTGTCCAGGTGTACTTCGCAATGGTCCAAGACCTCTCCGTGAACTTGCCGCAAGTGGGCCAGTTGGTCGCGGAATTGTCGGCAAATTCGGATTTTCTCACATCGGATCTGTTGCCAGTGGGTGACCTCGTCGTGGTCGCGTCTGCCGTTGTGAGCTCCAAAATGGGCCTGGGCACTGCCCAGCAAAGTCTTGGCCCACAAGTCGCAATCGAAAACAAGGTGTGCAAGCTCAGCGCAGTCGGAAAGCTGGCTGTTGATGTCATTCATGTTGTGGTCCAGGTCTCGGTGGAATTCGAGTCGCCCCTCCCCATGCCGATGTGCTCGGGCTAGCTTGGTGTAGTCCCAGCGTGGGCGTAGGTGGCGATGTACAAAGGTCGGCATCTCGTAATCAATGGTGAAGAACAAAGGGAGGTGGTCTCGCGGCTGCGCATGAGCTGGAGTTGGCGCCCACGTTTCCAAGCTATTGCGAAGGTCTGGATGCCTTCCAGGAGGAAAGAAGCGACGACACCAATGTCGATCGTGCAGGTCTCCTGCTTGGGATCGTAGTAGGTCGGGCCAGCGCTGGGGTGGAGGTGCTCGCGCACGCCAAGTCGAGGGGCGAGAGGGTGTCGTCCAGCTTGGCGCCTGCGACGCCGCTGCGCTTGATGTGAAAGGCGCCGAAGTGGTGCCCCTCAGGGTCGAGCCGCGTCTCCTCTGTCGTGCGGTGGCCGAACCCTGAGTTGATGCCGAAGTCTGCGATTGGTGCACATCGGGCAGGAGCTCCTGCTAGTCGGTCGTGGATGTGGTTCATAGTCAACTCGACGCTGCACTGTTGAGCCCGCTACGCCGCGCCCGTCTCGCATAGCGGAGGAGGGTATCCCGTCGCTGCCAGGATGTCGAAGCCGCCAGATGTGACGCGAATGTCTCCTGATCGGCCTTCCAGTCCCCGTGGCGCTGGTGTGACCGACGTGATGTGATTCCGTCGCAGTCGTCGGCCGACCACGATGCACGCGCCCGAACAGTTGGTCACATATGGAGAACGTCGCCATCCGAGAAGGAGGAGGCCCACACCTAGAACACTGGCAATCTCTTCCAACCGAGAACTCTGCATGAGAGACAACGGAATGTAAACCGCCACCCGCAAGAGAAACCTCATGTGATACCCTCTCAGGACCTGTGTCCAGACGTCAGACGTTGGGTGAGGGGTCGGTGGGAAGGCGCGAGGAGCGCGGGGGCCTTCCGGTCGCTGCCTGCTGCATGGCTTGAGCCGAGGTAGCAGCTCGAAGGCCCCAGCGGCTGTGATTGCACGCGTCCGCGCACGGAAATGCAACGCTCTGTGGCCCCATGGGGAGCCCCATCGAAGGCCCCCGGCTGTGATCGCATGCGCCCGCGCGCGAGAATACAGCGCCTCGCGGCCCAGCGGGGAGCTCCACCGAAGGACCCCGGCGGCTGTGATCACACGCGCCCCGCTCCACCAGCGCGGCGCCCCGCGGCCCCATGGAGAGCTCACCCGAAGGTCGCAGCGGCTGTGACCGCGCGCGTCCCGCGCCGCCCAGTTCAGCGCTTCGCGGCCACATGGGGAGCTCCACCAAGGCCCCGGCGGCTGTGATCACATGCGCCCCGCGACGCACAGC